CACTTCTAAATATTATGCTAAGGCCTTTTGTAATACTATACAATTGTAAAGTAATAAAGAAGACTAAAGGCAAGATGACCTAAGTGAAAAAAAAAAAAAAAAGATATAGAAAACTCAGATCAGAAGTTTTAAATAAAGATCTACAAACAGATTTCAGGTACAGTATATGGTGAAAAACTACAACCAGTACTAAATATAGCAGAGTTTTTAAATTAAAATTATATATGTAACTAAATATATCTTGTCAGAATATACTTGTTTAAACTCCTGTGATAAGACATCACATGATTTTACAATTTAATAAAAGTGATAAGCCAAAGAGTATATTCTATTTTATCTAATTTAAACAAAACAACAGCAATTGGCTAAGAATATTTGTCAATTTACTCAAATCGGTCTAATAGGTTATCTAGGTCAAAACATTAATATAAACTCTTTATCTTAGATTTTAATATAAACAAATTTGATTAATGCTTTTTTTGTAGTTTTTTAAAAAACTTCTAATTATGCATTTTTTATATGATGCAATAATTATAGCATATTTATATAATAAAATAAATTATATATTTGTAATATCATATAAGTTGCTTTATGACTACTGTATGTAGTACTTGGACCTTATGTTTGGTAACTAGGCTCTGCAGCTGTTATTGGCAGTGCAAGAACCTATGTCTTAGTTTCACTTTGTTATGCAAAAAAAATATATAAATTGCTTGTAAATTTAGTTAGTTATAATACACAATTACATTTTTATAACAATAAAAGCAGTACTATTTACAACAAGAGAATATATTTCTATTCTTCTAATAAAGGTTATACAAGCTTCACTAACATTTTTTTACTAATATAAATTATAGCACTGTCTTAAGAATAAAGAAACAGAAGAAGCAAAATAGATGCTTAAACATTTTACAAGACTAAGTTCTCCAAAAATACTTAACCAACACTATGAAAAAAAATAGCCAAGCTTTTTAGGTTGAGTGAATACTCAAATGCTATCCAAGCTCAAAAAAGACTAACATCTGATGAAGGCATTTATATTTCTACAAATATGATTCATTACACACTATAGAAACAAAGTCTCTAATCTAGGGTAAAGCAAAAAAACCTCTACTTCAACTATAAAACAAAAAAACAAAGAGAATTTACAAAAAAATTCTATTATTAAACTGTTAAAAATTGATAAAAATTTATTTTTTTTGGACAAATCGAGATTCAAAATTTTAAATTCAGATGGAAAAGAATAGTGTTGAAAAAGCTAAATTCATCTTTGTTACTACAACATATAAAACCAATAGTGATATTTGATAGAAATCCATAATGATATGGAGCTGCATTGGTGTACAGTGTTGAAAACTATTGTAAAATTAAAGAAAACATGGATAAAGAGTTGTATTGTAAATATTAAAAAAGTTCTTGAGAACATTGTAGACATGGCTTTGAAAAAAGATAAGATTATTTTTCAATATAATAACAATCCAAAGCATAGATTGCATATGGTTACAGACTGGTTAGATGAAAATGGAATTGCAGTTTTAGATTGGCCACCATACTCTCCCAACCTAAACCCTATAAAGCATTTTAAAATGAAGTTGATAATCATTTATGACAACTTTCTGGTAATATTACTAGTAAGATGGATTTGTGAAATAAGATTCAAAAGGTGTAAAATGAGATCAATAATGATTATGTTTTAAAGCTAATCAACATGATGCCACAATAAATTAAAGATGTCCTCAAAGCTAAAGAAGGGTATACTGGATAGTAAATTTTAAAATAAAAAAATATTAACTTAGTTAAAAAAAATTTAAAAAAAATTTATATAATAAATTTTGGGTCAAAATTATTATTCCATAAAATTTGTAGAAATTTAAATTTTTTTTAAAAAAACAATTAATATTATTTTGCAAAATTATATCATTTAATAAAGAAGTTAAGAGCTTTACACTGTTGAAGTTTATGTTATGTGGTTTATAGAATGTGAAATATCATGTTCTAAAAATTTTAAACATGGTGGAACAATAATTATGATAGTTAGTGTATATATTATAAGTATCTACTCCGCTTTAGACATCCCTTTCTGAGGGTACTGTATATATGCATGTTTATAGAGCATTTGCACCATATAATATTATAGTGTAATAGAACTGTATTATACTGTATTTCACATTATTATATTATTTATCAAGGCATTACGGCATTACGGCATTACGGCATTACGGCATTACAACATTACAGCATTATGGCATATAATATTTACGGCAATCAGGTACTGTGCCATAATTAATTCTACCAACTGGTAAAATGCCGTACTGTAAATCAGTAATTCTACCGCCAACTATAGTGGGCACTGAGCTTTTCGTTCTCATCTTTGATCACTGATTATCATTTCATCGACCCAGTAAAAAATCCTAAAAAGAAAAATAAAAAATGCTAAAGATCCTGTGTTAGACATTCAAATTTGAATCGGGTCACTGATATTATGTCTGAACACCATGTTTTCACCATCATTTGTTATAACATTTATAGTTGCACTTATTCGTATAATTTACTTTGAATACATAAATATTTTAAAATTTAATTGTGACACATATCACGAGAAAAGCGATAAATATATACTCACATGTGGATCAAATCGTGCGCAGAAGTTCTTGTATGCAGAAGAAATACTATGTATTGTATGCTATGTGTAAAGTTTCTGATATGCATTCACATTCCTGCTTGGTAAAAAGTCGTGTAACAATATTTTTTACAATAGAAATAAACAACCAATCAAACCAATTTTTACCTATGGTCCGGTGATAAGATCAAAGTCTTGGCATTTAACCAGAGGTATAAAATACGTCACTGATTACTTCTTTTGACTATTTCTCATTGCAGATATTTCTTTCTTCTTGTTAGACATTTATTATGATATGCAATGAGAATAGTCAAAAAAGAAGTAATGAACAACGCCAAGATTTTACAAATTCAAAACGGTTTATTTGGATTAGTAAGTGTTTCGTTTTTTAAATTAGTAAATTCCTCCTAAAAAAAGGAAACAAAACTTACAAAAAGGAGAAATCCAAAATTCAGAGAATTAAAAAAAAAAAGATTATGAGGTAGGAAGATCATATTACAGCGCCCTCAATTGGTGGTAATGCTAGGACTTTAAACCTAATTTTTAAATACTATCTACCCATTGAAAACCGACACAGATCAACTCTTGATGTACTAAATTGATATTAACGAATTTTTCTGAAAATCTTTAATCAAATGCTTGAAAATATACAACTTAAAAAAAATATATAGAACTACTAAAAAACCGTCTTTGGTATAAACAGATACCAAATAAATACCCAAGAGCTTCCAACCTACAATACTTAAGAATGCTTTAATCCATATATTTAAAGACATTTAACTCATAATATTCAAGAAGAATGGTTAATTCATAACGTATAATACTGGCCAACCATAATTCTCGGAATAAGTAACCCATATTTTTTCTGAATTTTAATAAAAAGTAACGATATGAATGTTCAAACTAAAAATCTTGACATAAATATAGTTTACGCACAAATTTAATTGCAAAACGGCAATATATGGAATTTGCCAATTAGATACTGTAATTTCAGTTTCATCCATCAACGCCATAATCAATGATGTTTTAGGCTGCTGTCAATAGAAATTAAGTAGATTAACATTTTTATTTCGAAGCTATTTTAATTAAAATTCCAGCTTGTTTTTAATTATTAAATAGCTGTAAATGCTAAGGTATTAGTTGGTTTTTTTTTTTTTATTGACGGTAGACGCTTGAAGAATGCGTAACAAATACGCGTTTACAAAGATTGGTAATTACTTTCTTTATGACTCTGAAAAAAATATATATACTACTTAAAATTAACGCATTCTTTTTATTCGTATATTGACAGGACAGGTAATCTTATAAACCCAAAAAAAAAAAAAAAAAAAAAAAAAAAAAAAAAAAAAAAAAAAACTAAAAATAAATTTATTTTGCCTAAATATGGGAATATTACTAAGGTATTAAATAAATAACCCAGGTACGACAATATTTTTCAGAATAAATTTGATGAGTAGTAAAATTACGCACATAGCAATCAGTAAATTTCATTGGTAAATTTTATATCATGTTAATTATAATTTTTGTCTTATAGAAGTCCGCATAAGCATCTCGCACAAGTTGTACAATATGTGAAATAATGTTGAATTTATCTCGTACAAATCTATCTCTAGTTAGCATTCGGTATGTGCATTTATATATACCGGTATAATTAATTTATAATTTTTTAATATTGTTTTATATATAATTATAAAATTTGATATGTGGTTATATATAATTATATAAATAGTAGTATATGGAAACAATTTTAATCAAAGATTAAAACAAGTTGTAGAACGATTCAGTTAATATTTAAAAATAAAAGTTGCCAACTAGAATAACATATAAGAGTATTTATAAGTAATGAAATTTATTATAATAATACAAAATAAATTAATAATTTTTTTAAATTCTAATGTAGCATCAAATTTAATTTCGATTACCTCTATCAGAAGAGCGTACCAATTTTTAAGACAGGTTTAATAAAATCTACATTTCCAGGTCAACCGCTTAATGGCAAAATAATTATAATGAATATTTATTATAACAACTTCTGAACTTTAAAGCAGTGTATGTGGTATCAAATTGGAGTTGCTTCATCATGTGATAATCTTTGCGAACGAATTTGTTGTTGAGATTGTAAAAATTGTAAAAATTGTTGAAATAATACTTGTTGTTCTAGCTGATTGTCTGTATTTGACGTATTTGATACATCAACATTTTTTAGTATGCTTATTTTTGAATTATTGAATTTTTTTTGTACAATGGCACTATTTCTATTTTTATAACACAGTCGGTAAAATATACAAAAACCGATTCCAGTTAAGATTAATACGGTTTCAAACACACAGACTACAATTAATATGTCAAGGGTGGTATTATTAGCGTTATTAAGTGGCATAATCTGAGTCGAATTTCCACCATCTAATTGAGATGATGGCATTAGATATGATGGCCTATTTTTAAAAATGAAGTTATAATTCAACAGAATCATATAATCATATTAATACACGAAGGAATTTAAAGCTTACGGAAACTCAGTAAATGGGGTTCCATGCTGAATACAAGAATTTTTCCACTCGTTTAATGGTTGAATGGACACTTTATCACCTGGACTGTCCATACAATGAACACAAAACCTTAAAGAATCATAATACAATTGATTACAATTACAAGCATTCCCATTTCCGTCAGCTACCAGAAATAAAAAAAGGTATAATATATATCAGGTGAAAAGAATGAATGGCGAAATTTGCAAATCTCAAGAACACTTACGTGATAATTTGTATATAGAAACATTACTTGTAGGAGGAGGTAAAGTTTGATTACATGGAGCCGATAATTCATTTACTCTTCTACATGGGCTATCAATTTTACATCTATGTAATTTTTTTTTTTGTTTATCCTTTCTTTTTCCTTTTGAAAATTTTTTTGAGTGTTCTTTCGAATACTTTTTCGCTGATGAATTTTTTGTAACGAAACCGGATAATAACAAAATGATGTGTATATAAGGTTTATGTGTATTTATAAAAACTGACATTTTTATTTTATTTTTACGATATTTTTGATGACGCTTTTCATTAATCAAATAATTTAGAACGTTCAAGAAAGTTTAAGACTATTTTGATATGGATTACGGGTTAAAAACATATGTACTACTTTTATAGATTATGTACCCATATATATATATTTCGTAATTAATGCATGTGCGCTATTAAGACAAAATTGCACTAGAATATCCGATTTGTTTATATAAACAATATAGTTCCTAGTTCCTAGTGTTACAATACTTCTTTTGAGACAAGGCTCAATAACGGTAACGTTAATACTGAAAACGAAAACTTGAAAGCATAAAATCTCATAAACTCTTTCTTTCTAGTCAGTGTTTCTTTTTCATAATAAATGAATCATAATGAATCCAAGAGGAAATATTCACTTTTGCTTCGTCGCGAGTGAAATTATTGTGGATTTTAAGACAGGTTTCGAGAGTGTTTCGAGAAGGAAAATTTAATATGTTAAAAATATATCGAGGATATATTGAGGAAAAATAAAAGATGTGATTATGATGATGGAATCAAGTGTGTTTTCTGAGATCATACCTTTTGATTGAGTTTATGAGTATTAAAAATTTGGATATTCATGATTAGTTTTTTTTTTTCAATGCTTCTGCTGATTATTCATGATTACGCATTTATACTATATCTGATATTAAATTTGGTTTATTACATGCGCTCTAGTGTGATAGGAAATAATAATAATCATTATCGTGAGAATTAGTGACAGAAAAAATAGCGATGGATAAACTTTACAGTGAGATGATATTTCGTATTTTTAAAAAAATAGTGACAAAAGTTAGTCTATTCAATTGTGTGTTAGTAAATAGGGAAGGGCATGGTTTGATTGTGGTGAATATCTTTAGAATGAAAATGCACTTATAAATAATACTTCGGATTTTAGGACAATTACATTGATATTCAGCACCTATTTATTACAAGTAGAAAAGTTCATAAACAGTAAACAGATTCGGAACCTACTTATATCAGAACGGAATAACTATCGTTATACTAAAATCCTAGTTCTAAACTTAAAAATTTCGAATCAACTTAAATTCCGTTACAAAAATTCCGATAAAATCACGTTATTAAAACGCATGTTAAAGTCTAGATTTTGGATGTGGGAAATCGTTCTTATGTGATAAGTATATTCGGAACCTGATTGGAGATTAATGCACTTTGAAAAGCTGAATTTCCACGACACTTGATTAGAGAAGTGCCGTTTATTACGTAATTTTTTTGGGGAGGGGGAAGGTCAGCAATTTATCACGACTATATATTGAATATAATAAACCTTATGATTGGTTACTGATTTTATCACCTAGGGGAGTGGGTGCGACCTTTTAATAAATAAAATTCCGTATAGCCACGAAAAAACGCACCCCTGCGCTATTTCAAGACGTGCGTTTTTCTAAAAGGAGTACGTATCTTCAAAATGCGCAAGGGCGTAAAACAGGGCTTTGCATGCACGTCTAATTACAACATAGTGCGATGATCAAATATTTTTATACGTAACTGATAATCAGCGGTGGCATAGTGGATAAAATTTAAATTGCAATAACCCTTGAACAAGCCAATCCACACAAATAAAATTATATTTGTCGGATTTATTTTAGTGTGCTCTTTAATATAACGTCTTTTTTTTATTAATTTATATTTTTTAGAGCCTAACGGAGGACTCAATTTCCATGCAAAATGGTCGTTTTGATATATTTTTAATAAAAAATATCAAAAACGTAACTTTGAATTTTTTTGTCGATCATCTCAAAATACAATACAAGTTATGGTTTTTGATATTTTTATTAATAAAAAAAAAAACCATCAAAAACGATCACTTTGCATGGAAATTAAGTCCTCGTTAGGCTCTAAACAATAAAAAAAAGACGTCGTTACTTTAAAGAGCGCACTAGAATAAATCCGACAAATATAATTTTATTTGTGTATTGGCTTGTTCAAGAGTTATTGCAATTTAAATTTAATACGTATCTGATATGTTTTTACTATTTACGCTACCACTACGCTGATCATAAAAACATTTGATTAATGATCATCACTATACCACTTGCACTATGTTTGTAGATACGTACGTATCGTACGTAAGAATAGTGTTATTTTTAATTAATATAAAACACAGACTAACTAGACACAGAGAACGATCAATTTAATTATTGCGCATCCGTACTTTATTAAACGGAATGTGGCAATAGGCCTTCTCATGTAAGATACTGCACTAAACTTCGTTGGTCAAGAATAAGCCGCAGATCAAGCTATGAATTTTTTTTTGCTAAAAATAGATCTTAGGTAACAATGCTTCTGAGAGTCATTTTGGATGTTCTATAGAAAAGGTGGGCAATACAGTATAAGAAATAAGCTTCGCTAATGATTAGTAATCATTAATTTTTTAATAGCGGAGTTGCGGAGTTTGTGGAGTTTGCCCACCTGTTCTATATAACATCCGATCAATTATAGCATAGGAACCCCTACTATAAATCAATTTGATTAATAATCAATTTGATTAATCAGGTCTTCTATACTATATTTAATCTGGATGCAGAAAACGGTTTTGTAAGCAAACTTTTGAGTTATGAGCGAATTTTTGAACACGACATTTTTGTTTTGTTTTTATATTACACCTGGTCTTATGTCATAATTAGTTTAAAAAATCACAGGATTGCTAATATTTAGTGTTAAAGCCAGAGTTTGGAACAATTTTATTTTTTAAAATAATTCACCAGGGCGACCACCAAAAAAGTGCGGGTCATATGAGGATATTTAATATAATGTACAATTACAGTATTAATAAATTTAATTAATAATTGTGCATTACTATAAAACCCGCTCTTCTGGTGGTCGCCCTGGCTAATTCTTTTTAAATCCTAATTTATTTAATTCGTAATTTCTAGCTGCGAGTTCCTGTATATGTAAATATTTCATTTGATTGGTTAAATTGGAAAAAACAACAAATTTAAATAAATAGAGTAGTGATTGGACTCGTCTGAAAAAATGCCACCCAGGTCACCCGACGGGTGGGCCATCGACCACCTGGGTAAAACCCGGGTGGGTCACCCGACAGGTGGACTCGGGTAGAACACAGGTGGGCTCTGCTATTTAGTTAAATTTTTTTAAAAATAAATTTTTTTTTGATTTTAAAATGAATTCATTTATTTAGATTACAACATACAAGATACTATAATTCAAAAGATTCAACTAGTTGTTGTGGTCAATCTGCAATCTATTATCCCTTAAACCATCAGTTTTAGCAGGCAAATTTGCCTGTTAAAATTTTTAAAAGATTTATAAAATTTGCTTCTGATTTATTTTTATTAAAATTAAGTTATTTAAAAAAAATTTTTTTTTAAATATTAACTATTAAGATAGATTATATTTTAATAAATTTAATTTTTATATTTGTATAAAAAAATTTTAAGTTGTTTATAAATTAAAAAAATTTAAAAAATTTAAAAAATTTAAAAATTTTTGATTTTTAGAAACTTTATTTTTGACTATTGACAAACTTTTTAAAATTCTAAGAATATATATCCTATAATTTTGATACAAATTGTAGATTAAATTATCATAAACAACTTTTATTATAAAAGTTTTTATAATTTTATAATTAAAATTTTAATTTTGATTAGTAGAGAAAAGTTTTTTTTCTTCAGAAACATATAAAAATTTGAAAATTTTTAAAAATTTTTGAAAAAATTTATAGTAAATTAAAGAATTGCCTATATTTAGACAAATTTTTTTTATTTATAAATATATATAATTAAAATTTTAATAAATATCAATTAACAATATGCTAAATTTTTATTTAGTTTAATAATAAGGGTATATATCTTTAATAAAATTTTTAGTAATTTTAAAAAAATATGTTAAAAAAAATTCTAGTGGTCAAATTTGTCCATTGAACAGTTTAAGGGATAATAAAAAACTTTATATCCTTAATAATAAATTTTAAAATTTTTTTTTAACTTAGGTAATAACACCAATAACAGTATTTATTAATGTCTTATTACATAAAAGACCATGAATTATTCTCTGAAAACCAATAGCTTATGACAATAAATCTGTTGCTCTAACATTCTGTAATTACTTTATACCTAATCAAAGTTATTAGAGTGCTTACAGATAACTAATTGCATTAGCAAAATATGATTAATTAAGATAATACCTTACTAAGTGCTTATTTGATCACTGCTCTATAATAGGATATTATTAATCTAGTAATATCTTCTTGTAGAAAAGTAAAAGAAAAACCTATTTTAAAAGAAACATAAAGGTAAAGAAGTATAATAAAATATATAAACAAGAAAAAAAAGTAAAAAGAAAATAAGAAATAAAAATATTGGATTTTTTTACTAATACTGAACAGTTATAATTATAAATCTGTATTGGGTTGTAAAAATTCTATACTATTATTCTTATTCTAAATTTATAGAATTAATATATATAAATAAAAAACTTTTACAAAGTAAAAAAATATAACTTTCTTAATTTTGATACTGTTACAGTACCGTGGCTTTCTTAACAGCAGTACTATAACAATGACACAGCTACAGAGATCCTT